CCTGTCAGGAGCACTGCCATCCCAGGTGACAGCAAGGGTGGAAGACAGGGGCAGAGGCTGCGGAAGTGGAGCTGGGCTGGCTCTGCTGGATGAGAAAACCAGCAGCCACAGCAAGACTCGGGAGGGAACGCCAGGACTGGGCGTCCCGGGACACTGTCCTGAGCACAGCGGGGTGAGTTAGTCACGGGGCGCCCTCCCGTCAGACCTGCAATGGTTCGTGTTGGAAGGAGGCAACGAATGCCGTTTAATATTTACTTTGTGTTTTGAAGTGTACACAACATACATTATTATATAGCACTCGCATATGTAGACTATAAATACACACAGGAAGTTACTCAAAAGTTTTATCTGATATGTCCAAGTATCAAAATAACTAAAGACCATTTAAGTAGAAGAAAAACACAACATATTGTCAAACTCTAAACCATGTAGCCCTCAGTGGCCAGAGATATTTACCATGGTATACTGAATATTTTCTGCATTATTACATTAAGTATATAATAAAGATCTAGGAGCGATAAAAGATTATTGGTCTGTGTATCTGAGAATAAATTTTACTGATCGATGTTCTTTTACAGGACTCAGACAAACCTTACCTGTAACCCTAGTGTTCTGGCTAGAGGGTCAGGCGTTCAAGCCTAGCCTGGGCAAATTAGAGAGACCCTGTCTCAAAATAAAAAATAAAAAAGGAGCCAAGGATGCAGTCCCGTGGGAAGGCCCTGGGTTCAATCCCCAGCATCATAAAAGGGATGAGCTCCGACCCCGTAATCCAGAACTGCGATATAGCTGGATCTGAACCAAAAGAACAAAAAATACAGTAAGGACCAGGGACTGCTCTCAAGATTAGAGCATCAGAGGGGTCAAGCTGAGGGCTCATTGCTGACCTAGGGAAATGTAAGTTAGTTAAAAGTTTTATCAGCAAGACGAGCCTGAGCTGCACCATTAGATTCTGCTACTGCGACAGCACAAATGCCCAGTACCACGCAGTTCTGCAAAATTAACAAACCAAGAAGGGGCCACACCACTGAGGCTGGCAGGGGCCTAGAGAGAACAGACAGAAGGCCCAGGCCACCCTGCAGTCCACAAGTCTAGGATCATCCAACCTGCTCACATATACTGCTTCCATGTGGTATTCACCACACCCTGTGCCAATTCGAACACCCTTTAAATGTTTTCATTTAGCTCTCACACTCAAGCGCAAGTGTGTTAAATGGACACACACAACATCAGAGCAGTGCCACTGCTAGAATGCAGGTCGGGAGCTGTGAAACATGCTGGCCACACCGGCCACACCTGGCTTCATGGGGGACCTGGGATCATCCCACACAATGACAGCCTGAGAACACACACACCAAGCCTGACATGTGGCTGATCAGCCATCACAGAGGTGACGCTCACGGTCACACAACTCACACAGGGAACTGGTTACCCCAGCTCCAGGACAGGCAGGCAGGCCCTGCCTGTCTTCACAGCTGATGTCCAATATCTGATTTGGTGCCTGTCTGGGCAGGGGGTCACACACCTATAAGCCCAACACCCTGGGAGGCTGAAGCAGGAGGATTGAAAGTCTGAGCCCAGCCTGGGCAGCTTAGAAATTACCCTGTCTTGAAATAAAAATTTTAAAAAGGACTGGAGATACAGCTCAGGGCAAAGGCCCTGCATTCAATCTCAAGTATTACAAGAGAGAAAAAGAAATACTTATCAAGAGGGAGGGCTGGGGATTTAGCTCAGTGGTGCTGCTGCCCGCCTTGCAAGCGCAAGGTCCTGAGTTTGATCCCTAGTACCAAGAAAAGAGAGAGAAGGAATAAATGACTATTTACAGGCACTTGTAAAGGCAAGACAGATAAAGATGCTCAAAATCTTACAAATGTTTCCATGAAACTTAGGAAAGCTACTGATTTCAGCAGATCAGGGACAGAGGCGGGCAACCAAGTAAAGCTCAAATGCAGAATTGCAGAACAAACTCTAAGAACGGTCGCAGTCTTTTATTAAGAAATTTTAAGATTGTTCAACTACATGGTCTTGTTTGTAGCCTGATTGAAACCAACAGTTTGCTTTTCCTTTAATGAGACCAACCAGGCAATTTAAACGCCTGCTGGGTTACAGGTGTTATGCAGGAAGGACTGCTTTTTCCAGGTGTGATAATACTACCGGGCTCACGTCTGTAAAGGGCACCGTCACAGAGAGATACATAATGAGATCTTTGTGCACGGAAGGCTACATGCCTGAGACTCACTGCAAAATAACCCACAGAGGGGAAGGACAAAGTGAGCGTGTGCACATGAAATGAGCAAGGTCCATGTGTGGACCAGGCGTCAAGGCACTGGGTGACAGAAGCCCCGAGGTCATGCTGGTGACTCTGCCTCCAAACACCCGTGGTCATCTCCACGGTACCATCCTGTCCACCACGGTTCATCTTCTTGCCTTTGCCCTGCCACAGGAAGACAGTCGAGTAGTGCTCTAGTCCTCCACGGACACACTCATATCCACCTGCAGATCAGGGCCAGGCACCTCGCCTTCCCTCCACCCCTGTCGCCCCGCCACTGCGAACCAGAAGCTTTGTGCTTCCACCCTGGGCCTCCTGTTTGCCACATGGACTTCCACGGCCCCTCCCAGCCTCCCTTCCCTGCCATGCCCCAATCTTCCTTCTCAGTGCCTTCCTTCGGGTGGCACCGATGTCCCCTGGTACCAGGTCACACCCGTCCTCGCTCCTGGTACCAGCGAATCTCTCAGGCACGTGGGGCCTTAACCCTTCACCTTCTTTTCCCCAAAGGCTGAGACTTCACCCGCGGGTCCCACCATGCCCACTGCCCCCCAGACTAGTCGCTCTTGCTGCTGAGGCCTCTGTTCTTCCACCAAAGCCTCACGCGTTGTGTTCAGAGGTGGAGCTTCTGCAAGGCAGCTGCCCAGGGGCGCCACGTGCGGTGGATCCACCCCTCTCACCCTCCTAGCTGACTCGCTGCCATGACTGGGGTCTGGCTGGAAGAGCGGGTCACTGGGGGCGTGCACTGAAGGGCCCAGCTCCCTCTCTTGGCTCCTGCCTTTGCTCTCTGCTTCCTGGCTGCCCGATGTGAGCCTCTTCGCTCTGCTCGGCCCCTCTGCCATCCTTTTCCTGCCTTGGAGCTGCTGCCCACGGGTGGAAACTGGCACCCAAAATAAATCTCTCCTCCTTCAAGTTGTGAGTGCGGGGCATTGTGTCCCTCTGACACACCTGGTCAGTCCCTGCACATTTCCAAGACAAACCAAGTGAGGTCTGTGTGTCTGCTGTGTACCTCACACAGAGTGACAGCCACAAAAAGACAGACACAGATCTGCTTTCCTGAGCTATACCACCTAGTGCATGTGAAAGCAAAACAGGCTCAAGCATCCACAAACCTTCCAGACCACAGTGCGAATCCTGTAACCACCTCTGTCCTCAGGACTTCACACAGCGCCTGACACACGACAGATCCTTAACAAGCATCTGGCAAGAAAGATGAAGGACTCTCAAATCCACGATGTCTCAGCATTAGCCGAAGCCCACGAAGGATGCAGTCACCCTAAACTCTACAAATGAAAGGCAGCTGAAGAGGTTTTCCCACGAGAAGCTCCCTTGACGAGCAGACAGAGCCTGGCTCTGGGGAACTGCATGTTGCCGAGGAAGGAAGGAAAGAAAAGGCAGGCAGGCCAGCGGGCTTGCTCCCGGAGCCAGGCTGTGGATGTGCTCGGTCCATCCTCTGAGCCCTTCTGGATGTTTGGCCCCTCCTCCTCCCACTGCCAGCCCCCTCCCTTCACCCTTCCAGCTGCAGTGGGCATGAACCTCAGTGCCCCTTGCAGTCCCCTGCTGCTCCGAGCCTGTGGCTTCCTCTTGGCACTGTCTTTCACTTCCTATCCCAACCCTGCACAGAGCTGCCCGCTTGCTGCACCATTTTACAGAGGCAGGAACTTCAAATCAGCCCTGGCCCCAACCAGGAACTCCGCCAAGGAATCAGCCCTGGGACCAGCTCCACAAGGTGTTCCAGGCGCCCACTACGGTGGGCTGAGAGAAAGAGAGAAAACCGATGCTGATTCCAGCCCCACCCCACACAAACACACACTCCACCCACGCCCACCTGGGGCCTGGCAGCACGGAGGAGTGTGGGGTTCGGGAAGAGAGAAATGTGCTGTGGGACGGGCCCAGTCTGCTCCTGTCCTGAGGCGGGGCTCGGGTCACTCCAGCCTCTCCCGTGTGTGAGAGATACCCAGGGACAGGGAGGGCAGCTCAACCCAGCCCTGCTCAGGAACTCAGGGCTCCCAGCTCAGAGAAGGTTGGGACTGCCTGCCTCTGGGAAAAGGGCTGAAAATGAAAGGAATCTCCCAGATGCAGAATTGCTACTTTTTTTTTTGGTACCAGGGATTGAACTCAGAACCTTCCACTTGCGAGGCAGGCGGCGGAACCACTGAGCTAAATCCCTGGCCCAAGAATTGCTACTTGTGAGGCTAATAATCTACTACGTGGAATGTCCAATTACCCTCTCCCAGGATCACAAAGGCAAGCTCAACACAGTCGCCAAGAACCCTAGGGATCTGACACAGTCACAGGAAGATCTACAGTGGAGATCCAAGCACTTTTCTGGTGGCCTGTGGCAGGGATGGGCAACTTTTACATTTGTATGTGTGTGTGTGTGTGTGTGTGTGTGTGTGTGTGTGTGTGTGTGTGGTACTGGAGATTTAACCCAGGGCCTTCACAATGAGCTACATCCCTAACCCTTTTCTATGTATTTTTTGTTTGTTTGTTTTGAGATAAGTTCTCCCTAAAATCCCTAAGCTGCCCAGGATGGGCTTGAACTTTCGATCCTCTTGCCTTAGCCTCCCAGACTCCTGGGATTATAGGCATGAGCAACCACACCTGGCATCTTTTATATTTTAATGAGCAAACTGGTAAAGTATGTAGGCTTGCAGGTCACATAACCTCTGTTACTATGCAACCATGCCACTGTAGCATGAAACCAGCCACACAATACTCAAACAGTGGACATGTCTACTATGTTCCAATAAAACTTTATTTAAAAAACAAGCATCTGGCCATAAGCCACAGTTTGCCAAGTACTGATCCCTGGGAAGTTTGCTCTTCTGCCTACAGCAGGGGAGGCCACAGACCTGTGGCACCTCTCAACAGCGCTTCCTGGGGCTGTACGAGGACAGTATGGCAAAGGTCAAGGAGATGACATGCATCTATACAGCTGTGCTTCCCACGGTGTCTGAGCACAGTTGGTGGAGAGAAGAAAACAGAAACACAAACCTGAACTTCAAAAAGAGAAGACCGTTTGACAGAAAATGTGGGTGATTGGCAGAGCTGGTCCAGGAGTCCAGGTGGCCCTGGGGTAACACACAAACACAAGGCATGCAGTCCTAGACCCTAGATCTCTCCTCCCACCTCGAGCCCCAAGGAACTTTAGCTGCATAACTCAGTATCCTCCAAATCACTTCCCAGAACTGACCTCCACTGCAAACATCATCCACCTGACCACAAACCTTTCCACCCACACTCCCTGCCGCCTCCTGGAGCCGCACACCTAAATGCAAATCAGACAGGATTCCCCCAGACCAGTCTGGGTGCTGGTTTCCTATTTCCATCCATCACTAAGGCTCCCAATTCCAGCAGCTTCTCTTCCCCACCTTCTGTCCACCACAGAGCCTCTCTGAGCCACCGAGTCCCTTTCTCTCCACTCCCACAGGCTCCGCCCTAAGCCTTCACCTCCAATCTGACATGGTGCCAGTTTCTGCTTAGGGCCCCAGACCCCAGGCTTCTAACAATGCCAGATCTTCCCCCATATGTTCATTTTCCTTCATCCACCACAATCTCTTCCCGGTCAAGGAGCAGTGTTCCCCTCTTCTGGCTCCCACTTCCCAGCCCCTCACTAGCACACTGCTAACCCCTGCGAGAATGAATCCCAGCTTTCACCACGAAGCACGAACACTCAAAAACCCCGTCTTCCTTTATCCTACAACTCCAAGTCCAGACTGCGGAGCTCAGCGGGCCTCCATCGCCTCGCTCACCTGTCCTTTGCTCCGCTCCTGGGCCCCAGAACAAGCCTCAGCTCGGCCGAGCCCATCCATCCGTTCCCTCCCTACGCCAGTCTCTCCCGCATCCACATCTGTGCCCACGCTCTGCTCTCCCGGCCTGCGATGACGTCCACAGCCTGCCCCCACCTACTCCAACTCCTACGCAACTGCCGACTGCGACCTGGGGGGATACAGGGATGCAGGAAAGCGGCAGACGACAGAACGGGAAGGGGGGCACACGAGGGATGCGTGGGGTCTCCAATCCCTGGAAGCATCATCCTCCCAATGGGTCACAGGCGATCAGAGAGAGAAGAGTCGGGAGGAGGAGCCAGATTTTTCCACTGAACCAAAGGCATGATTTTCATCACTGCTTCTGTTGCCCCGGTAACCAGGGACAGCGCAGTGGAGAGTACAGTAAAAGAACACCATGTTTATCTTTCCGCCTGATCCGGTCCCTGCACCCCTTTCCTGACCGCCCCCAACACCAGGGCTGCCGTGAAGGTCTTATGACGGGACCACCAAGCTTCTAGTCTCCGCTGCTCGGGACCTCAAGGCCCGAGCGCGCTCCTGCCTCTTTAGCAGACCTTTGTACCCTGCGTTCCTCTGCTGCTACCCTGGGGGTCCTCTCCCCACACCTCACGCACCTGCCACGCGGACAACTGGCCTCCAAAGACAAGAACTGCTTCCGCTTCACCACAGGGTCCCCGGGACAGGGGAAATAAAGGCACAGAAGGCAGGGGGACCCCAGCCAACCCCTTTCTGGGCCCCCTGCCGCCTGTGTGGAGCGGGCCCGGGTCCCCCAGCCCCCTGCACACGCCCGGAATCAGGACGAGGACCCAGGCAGGGTGGGGGCGCAGGCCCCTAGGATCCTGCCTCCCACGCGGACGGACGGCGTCTGCGTGACCCGAGAAGCGCGCGCCGCCTGGAGGTTACATAAGCGTTATATAACACGGGGCGCCGCCACGCACGCCACGCGTGAGCGCCAGGGCCGCCGGGCGGGTGGGACGGACCGAGGGCAGCAAGGCACCCCTGCGTCTGTACCTGCTCGTCCGGGGCCCGGCTCCAGCGGCTCTGCGCTGTCCTCCCGGCCGGGCGGCGGGCAGGGGCGCGGGGTCGGGTGGGGCCGGGTCGAGCAAGGGCGCGGGGTCGGGCAGGGCGAGGCCGCGCCCTCCGTCCTCCTGCGCGCCAGGCTGGGAACAAGTGCGGCCGGCGCTCGGAGATTGGCCGGGCCCGCTGTCCCTCCGCGCTGTCATTTGCTGTCCTCTGAAAAACACAACAAACCGAAAGGGAAAGGAAAAAACAATAAGCACATTTGTCAAATGCCAGACCCTCAACTCTGGTCTGGGCCGGCCGGGAACAAAGCTGGAAGGTGGCGGCTCGGAGCACCGCGTGTCCCCGCAAGCCGCCTCCCCGGCCCGGCCGCGCACTGGTCCGCGCCGACCCGGCCGCGGGGGCCCGCCGCCCAGCAGCGCTCCGGCACTCGGTGCAGGCGCGGCCGGGACCGGGCTGCTCCCCAGCACCTGCCGCTCTCGGCCCCGCCTCGCCGTGCAGGCCCCGACCCCGAGCCGTCCGCGCCCCGCGCCCCCCGGGCCCCGC